ATTATTTTTGTTCGATAAAAAACTTAAATTTGAAATTAATTTTAAACGGATGGGTAGCGGGGTGGAGACTATGTTTCTCGTACCCTCCCTGTACTCGCTTCAGGGTAATGACCATCGCCCCTTCCCCGCCCCTTTTACCCTGTTAGGCGGGGTCCCACGGGTATCGGGTTGAAATAGTTTTTTTGTCATCCCTAGAATGACTTTAGAATTCCTCTAATTAGAAGTCAAGTTTGTCACGTTGAGCCAACAAAACATGACAGGATCCGAACCATATGCACATCCAGCTTTAGTGCAATTTTAACTAAAAAATTGTAACTCTTTTAGAATGTATGATCCAGATTTAAAGAGAGATAATTTCATCTAAAGTGTTATATTGCCATCGTATACATAGAAATAAATAGAAAACGCGATCAAATTCATTCAATCTTTATCAAATTTGTTAAGAATAAAGTTTAGAATTTGACGAGGGCTGACGTTACCTGCCTTATCTTGATTTGATGCATGCCAGCAAATAAAATTAATGTCATTATAAAGGAGAAAGAATTTAAGACTCTTATCACGATGATCGAATCTATGGATCTGCCCAACAATTTTACTTTTTCTATCGACCCAAAATTAAATAAAAATATTTTGTTTATGTATATGATAAATAGAGACAAGTAATTATATTTAAACTAGGGTAAATACCATCTCTAAGAGAAAATTATGTAAATTTAGTACTTCTAAAAATCTCTATAATCGATCGAGAGATACTATTAAAAACTATTGAATTCAGAAGCCCTTGCCAAATATTGTAAATATATAAATTTATAATGCAAGGGCAACGATTTCTCAATTTTTGGCTCATTTGATATCTTCATATCAAGAATTGAAAAATTCGTTTTGGAATTGAAAACACTTTATTACCAGAGTTCACCGTACAACCTTTTGAAAGATGTTGCCTATGAGAACGGCATAAAGCCTTCGAAATCAAGGCAACACTCCGATCGATCACTTTAGAATTCCAATTGATAAAGGCTTTGCTTGCTTAGGTACTCTTTTTAAGTGCTTATAAATGGTGAATTTTAAGGATTCCATGATTAAAAGTAGGTATAAATTAGAAATCGAAAAAATGTGCAGATAAAAATAGAGTTTGACCACCTTATAAATACTTACAAATAAGTCACCCTAATGATGGATTTTTTGACGAAATGCCGAAAAAAGCCCGAAATAGCGATTCACAAGCACGCTTTAAAGGAATTTAGGATTGGTTACTACAACTTATTACTCATGGGGGAGCTCTTTGTGTGCGTCAAATCAAATAATGACTAAAAACAGTCACTCCAATAAGCTCAAATGGGCAAAATAATTCCATACCACACATACCTTTGGACCTTTTCCTTTTACTATAAAGAATTATGTGACTTTCAGTTTTTATTGATTTGATTAGACGAAACATCATTAAGTCACTATTTACCAGCAATTATATATATACTACGAAAGCGTGGTCCTATTAAAGGATTATTTGACATGACTTTTAAATAATCAATAGTTAATTTTGAGATTAAGAACAATTGTTTTTGAATGTATTTAGCTCTTACTTGGTATAGATTGAAATTAAATTTTTAATAGAAATGTGTGATTAAATTTAATTTTTGACTTTGATTTGAGATTATAATCCAAACCAAACAAGGATTTGAATAATTTTTTAAAAGTACTTTATCTAACTAGAAGAACTCAAGATTTTTAGTAGATTGTGATACAAGTTTTTGAAATGCGTGATTGAAAAGTTGTGGGACTCATTAAAGATGTGGTTAATATTGATTGTTTGACTTTTGACTTAGATTAAAATCAAATTTTAATCCAGACCAAACGGGACCTTAATCTAAAGTTCTTTATCAAGAAACTCTTTTACGAAAAGTAGAAACCCTACCTAATGCAAACTAAGTCTCCATGGTTTGTATGCAATTAATCAATACTATAAACATCGTAACATGCATGTTAATTAAAGTTTAATCAACAATATTCTCACGAGTTTTTGAATATTTGCCCGATAAAATAAGGATCACGCTGTCAAAACCAAATCTTTGCAAAGGTACACATATATCTTTGCAAAGCTTATCTTGAACTCACATGTATATTGCCTTGTCTTGTAAGAAACATCAAGGATAAACCTAGATGTACCAAATCCAATGGTGGGGCGCCAAGTGGCGAGTCGGTAAAACATTTTGTAAAACATTTTGTGAGTGTAGCATGGTCCAAACATCAATCTACCAGTAGTATTTTAACAATCTTTTCCCTGAACTTTAAGGTACTAAGTGCCTGTTTCAGCCATTTTTGATGTAAATTACATTTTAGAATAACAAATTGATTGATTGAGAATGTGATTAAAAAATAAGAAAAAATTTTGAATTTACATATAATATTATTTTACTGAAGAATATATGATCGACAAAAGAGAGATAAAAATGTATTTTAGAAAGGAAAAAAAAGGGGTCAATCATGATTTCTTTTTGGTAAACTCGCATGATTAAAGTGTCATGCTTGAATAATTTTTCCCACTCGAAAGATGGGAGTCTTTATCAACATCAATCCCTCATTGAGCTTTCCAGTCATGTCTGAAAGATGTACTCTTTTTAACTGTTGAAACATCTGTTCCTCAGCTTTCTGTCCAATCCACTAATATTCCAAAAGGAATGACTCGTGGGGTCTGCCCCAAATCACCCAGCACTCTTTCACATTCTTGGTTTACCTGATCTCCTAATTTTTCTGGTAAAAATAACCAGAAAAGATTGAATGAAACTGTTGTTTTAGGATGTTGTCATCACAAATCCCTCTTAGGTGATTCATATGATGTTGTGTTGCAGTTGCTATCGTTGTTGTTTCTTGGCCAGTCATAGAAACTGAATGGATCCAGTGCCTTGTTTTCTCTCCCTTCATCACCTGAAAATCCATCCATGAATAAAAGATCCAAAGGATCGGCCTCTATTTCTCCCAAATCTGCAAACAGATCTTCAGACTGGTTTGAACCCAGCAATGCCGGCTTATAACTCTGGGAAGGAAACCCTTCATATAGTTCTGCATCATCTATCTCAAACTGGTTATCAAGATCTTCCTTTTTTACATCCACGGGTGATGGAATTACGTTTTCTGCATGGTTTCCGGTTTCTTCATATTTCGGGCTTTTAGCCCTTTGGTTCTGAGAATTTGGTAAAGTTTTTGAAGCTGGGCTATTGTTCTTGGATGGCTGTGATCTTGTGGAGCCTGCAAGAGCATTTCTCTGAGTCGGCCATGGATGATTGTGCTCAGAAGTGTAGGTGATTACCAGCATATTCGGGTCGGTCCGGCTCCGTTCAACTTGCTTTCTTGCTGAACAACCCTTTGAGCTACTACATCTGTAATAACCCCTGAAATATCGAATTTCAAATGAAACAAGAATTAAGAAAAATCTGAACGAGGACTCAAATAAGAATAACAAAAACAAGCAATGGACGTTGAAGGTGAAAATTAAATTAAAATAAATAAACGTGTTCCTTTTTCTAAGAATCATAGTAGACAAGGATCTTTTTCCAAGTCCATTGCTTCAAGTCAAGAGGGTTTGGCACTACAAATGTACACTACGAATAGTGATTCCAACACTACATCTTTTTTTCCAATTGATAAGAGTGTTGGTTTAAATATCAAAACGATTTTACTGAGGTCAAAATATTCTTTAATACATACCTAATCTATGGAAAAAGAAGACCAATATCGTTGATTTTACTTAAGAAGTACCTTTGCGTGCAAAAGACAAAGTATGAAAAAAATGAACACATAAAAATTCAATATTAGATAAATTTCTTCCAGACAGAAGGGTTTTATGTCTGCATATTTTATGTCGTCTAATTATTTTCAAGAAAAAGGAATATACAACAAATGCTTTGACATGGGATTATGACGGGAACTACCTTGGATAAGGAGAACCTTTGATAGGTTTCTGTCCATACTTTCTCCATGCCCAAAGATCAGATGGAACAACTTCTCCACCACCACCAGGCCGGCTGTTCGCAGGCGCGGGAGCTGGTATACAAACTACTTTCTTTGCCTGACTCTTCCTGCAGATATCGAATCAAACTCAGAACTTTAATATTCCTTTTTTTAGCCTTCCGAGACTTGTACATTCTTTTTTTTTCTTTTCTTTTTTTCCTTTGGAAAGCTGAAGTGAAGGACAATATCAAAGACTGAAACTACAAAAATCCAGTCAGGTGGGGTTTGGAGGAACAGTGGTTACAAATAATAACATGAAAGCGAACTGACAAATTCTAGCTTACTTTTTCAGGTCGGATTAATTATTTTTGCAAAACCCTATTTGGGAATCCTCAACTTTGGCATGTCAATCTCCTTAAAACTCGAATTATTTACACTAATTTATGTAAGTATATGGTTTACTATAGCCTATACGTGCTGTTGCATAAAATATAAGAATTTGAAAGTTACATCATGGTTTAAGAAGAAAGATCTCACCTTCGTTTAATACCCGTGTTTCCCGGAGGCGAGATCTGAACAGCAGGGCTTTCCACCAAGCAACTTTTGGAGCTATTTGAAGAAATCATGTGATCATTAGATACTGAATCAGCACTTGCGGCTGTCTTCAATCCTCCATGAGAGGCGGTAGCCACCGCCGAAGAATTACGACGGAATACCAGCGACTTTTCATTCGGAGAGATCTGAAGCATTCTTGAGAAGATATTGGGAGGTCTAGTTTTCATCTCATCATCAAGAATTTTATTACCAAGAATTCTATCACCACTACCATCTCCTCCTCCAGCACCACCACTAGTCGCTAGGTTTCCAACATCTATAGAGTAATTTGAGTTGTTGAAGAACCCTGATACAGTTGTATCTGTATCATGAATAAATGGATCTCTCATATTAGAAAACGGATGCCCAAAATAATCCGATAACTCTTCGATTCCTGAAGAAAAATTAACGGGATTGCTCGGAAATTGCCAGTCAGCAGGAAGCGCCGGAACTGCAGTAGAGGTGTTGCTCCCCATGCTACCACCGCCAGCTCGGATTATATCATCTAAATCGCCTTGATAATTATTCATTCTCTCCAAGAAATGACTGCACATGATACTTAACTCAACACAATCTTGTTAGCCTCTTCAGTTTGGATTATTTTACACCAAACAGACGTAAAGAACATACAGTTTTCTAAAGTATTCTTTGATTGGGTTATGCACAAGAAGAAGCAGAGAAGAATTTATTTCGAGATTAAAATTTTGTTCTAAGAATTGGAATCGGCAAAGTTAGAGAGAGAGAAAGAGCGAGATGGGAAGTCGCTGACTTATAATATAAATCTGATCTTCTCCAAACGCAACAAGTTATTAATCTAATAGGGTTTTGAGCTGGTTGATTTTTTTATATAATATTCATTCACATCAAAAGGGTCAAATCTCTGCAACTGTTTTAATTATTATAATCGTTATCTCCCTCACTTCTCTCTGGCTATGGCTGTTTCGTTAGATGCATGTTATCTTCGCAGTATTAAGGGATGAAAAAGTTAAAAGGCGGCAAGTAGCCGCAATTTTCGGACACCACTTACAAAATGGGACCGCCGCACCTTTTATTGCATGGCCCTTATTCAAATTTGATTTTCTAAAAATTATTTTCACACTCATTTTCAATTTCATATTGTTTTTTTCATAAATTTTCTTTAGTTTTTAATCGCACGTCTTCTAGAAATATCACTTTTCGAAAGATCATTATAATATTTTTTTAATAAATAAAAAGAGTTCAAATTATAATTATATATGAGATGTCGACAAATGTTTAAACGTCATAATTAAAGTTGGTCAAGGATTTAGTTAGGTATTGCATAGTTCGTGAATTGAAGTTCGATTACTCAAATAAAGTGACAATATTGCATAGCTACATGGTCAAGAATTTAGTTAGGTATCGTAAAATTCGTCTTAATTTCTTCTAATATAAAATTTTGAAACATCATACACACATCATCTAGACATCTACCATGACACGCTGCTCCTCAAGTTGCTATTCTTGACCCCTCTCCCATAAAACACATATAAATGGTGTTTTGCTTGGTAACAAGTCAACAATAATAAATTATCGAGAATAAAAATGAAAGTTACATAGAAAAAAGTTATTAATTCTGTGAATATTCAAGAGTTTTGAATTAAAATTGAAATATCGAAAATTTGAAGAGCGTTTTTAAAGTAATTCAATGTGAAGAAAGAAGACGATAGAATCGTGCTCCACGTCCCTTATGTCTTCTTGTGGTCCAATTGAGCTTCCAACAGACGAACCATGTCAACGTATATTCAAATTACTTTTTTCTATCGTGTAGAGTTCAATGCAATTAAATTTGTATTTATTTCCCTAAAAACCATGGTTTTAGAGTGGAAAAATTGATGATTGGATTCAAACACCACATAGCCTACCCCTACCCCACCACGTTTGATGCACAAAATATAAATTAACACTGAGATTCTATGAGTAATTGCATTGATTTAGAGAATTAATTTGTCATTGATCCGGCCCACAACTACAAGGAATCAGAAGCCATGTGATCAACAAACATAATTTAATAATTATTTTAATTACAACTAGATAATGACAGATTAAGCTCCACATAATGACAAACCTACCTCGATGCTTACGACTTATTCAAGCTGGATTAACTTAATCATAAAAAATTAGCGATGATCAATTAGTCAAAATAAGTGATTAATTAATTATTCAATTGATCCGCACGCGGGCCACCTTGCCTAAGCGGCGGCCACCGCTTCTGACGTCAACCGTCTAGCTACCGGCCCACCTCACCCGGCACATTCAATCCTGGCCGTTTAATTTTATTGGCTTGGGAGGCTGAGATCATCCGGCCACCGGTTTTTTCGGCTTCAAATTTATTTATTATTATTCAACTACTCTAATACATATCTTTCTTGGGCTGGAAAAGAAAACCTTAGAGACCGTTCTCTTTGTATTTCAGTTTTGTGTTTTGAGTTTTGAATTCGTTTTGTGTTTTGTGTTTTGAGTGCCTGTTTTGAAATTTCTGAAAATGCGTTCTCTTTGCTATTTTGAAAAACTGTTTCCGAAAACATAAAAATGGAAAACTCGTTTACTTTGAAATTTTGAGAATTTTTTTAAAGAATATTTTATTCAAAAAAACTGATTATTCAATAAATTTTTATTGTTTAATGTTAATATAGTATTAAATAACATATAAATTTTTAAGTTGGTGAATTTTGAAATATTTTTTTCCAAATATAAAAAAAGGCAACCTAAATTAAATTTGGCAAGTCCTTATTTTTGTCCTTGTACATAATTTGTGACAAAATTAATTAGCATCAAATCACAACCAAACCTAATCAAGTTGCAAAAAATGGGAGCACTGATCTCATGTTGACATGATAATAAATATTTTGAAATCAATCTTATCGAGTTCATNTCTCTCAACTTAAATCATCTACAATGTTGATTGATTTGAGAAACTGATTGACGTTGCCTTCAAACGCTATATGCAGCGATTGAAGAAACTCTGTCCCACATAGCCACCAGCCATTGAGATGGTCCTCATGATTTGGTTCCTACACAAATACAAGTCCCTAGTTAGAGAGTAGGATTAAACTAAAATGAGCAAAACTAAAATCGGGCCTTTTGATGTATAAGAGGATGTCTGGCACAGATTTTGCCAAAAATTTCTGTGTTTTTCCTACCGTTATTTTCCATGGCTGGACCCCACATCTCTCACAACAAGTCCAAAATGACGGCTGAGTGTCTCTTCAACGGGTGAAAAATCACTGAAAATCCACCAGAAAATTCCCACCAGACGAGGCCTAAATCTACAATCAACTATTTACCAAATCAACCAACTTGCATCAAACGTGAAGCAAATGATTATGAAAATGATGAACATCAATCTATAAACCAATATGAGATGAATTACCCAACTGAATTGGGGATTGGCATGTACAATGGAGCTTGTGAATTATATTTGATCATCAAATCGAAATTGACTAAATTGAACCCTTAGCAAAACCAAAAACAAAGTTGGAAATCAATATACCAAGCAGTACAAGTTTCTGAATATGCTTCTCTGCCTTTGTTTCTTGCTCAATTCGCCTTTCNATCATTTTTCGCCAATTTATGCAGTTCATTACTAATTCTACCGGAAATTATAACATAAAGATGAAAAATCATTTCTTCCTCTTACATTTTCAAGATTCAAGACAGTACCTATTGAATCTTTATATATTCTTCACAATTACAGGTAAAGCATTAAATTCTTAATTCCTCTAAAATTCATCGCATTTCAAACAAAAGATACTTCCTTTTTTCCAATCAAGCACCACCAAAAGTAGAACTTTTCATTATTAAATCAAACATAAATCACACATCACAATTGGAAGCAATAGATGCAAAAATCTATGTAGTATTGTGTCAATCTCATTCTCAAATCAAAGCGAAGACACACAAAAAGGAGTAGAACAAACTTAGCAACTCTCCCTCTACAGCCAGGGTGGAATATAAGATAAATTAGTAAGCTGAACCTAAAACCTTTGAAGTCTCTCTAGAGGGCCCGAGTCGTTGCCTGTCCTCAAACAAAGTATGAAACTAAAAACAAGAAATATGAGTGATACAAGTATTCAAGCAAGAAAGAGAATTCAAGTTATAATGGAATTAGTTAATCGAATGCAGAAGACAAAACCTCAGTCCACTTCACAACAGGTTTTCCAACACGACCACTGGGACGACTGCATCTAACTAATCCTGGAGTATTTCTACCTCGTTATTCTATATCCTGGAGTATCTAACTAATCTATAGGAGTGCATCAGTTCACTTGGTTTAGTCTCTACCTACACCGCCAGACACCGTTCAACGAATTCCAACAAGAAACCACAAGAAACCGAGAGCATCACAATTCCAGCAACTGTTCAAAAATTCGACCTCCACGCCCACCTCCACCTCCA